TGCTGACTAATTGGTTTAACTATATTAGCCTGACCAACCCTTTCTTCTTGCACCGGAATCTCATCCGGTAAAGGCACCTCATGCCTCCTAGGCCTACCACGCCTACCACTACTATGTCCACGTCCTGACATCATAATGAAAGTAACAAAAGATATTAGCACATTTACAAATGTGCCAAAGCTAACTTACTCGTGTCCTAATGCGGTAGACAACTATAATTCACTCCACATAAGCACGCAGTCACATAAACACATATGAATTTCCTTCTTAGATGATGGCCGTCCCGCGACGTTGCCAGAGTTTCGATTAGAAACAGTAGTGATCAAATGCTCTTCTAACAAGACTTCCAGAAACCCGTAGACCCAATCAATATCTTAGGAATTAAATTTCATACCCAAATAATCACATATGCATACCATACAAACTAATGCCTCTATCAACCGAGACAAACCCATTCTGGTAATAACCGCTTCTTACGTACCCAAAGTATTCAAACCAGTACACTCTAATACCAAGTTGTAAGGCCACGAAATAATTACCAAAATCCCTCCACAACATTTATAGACGACAATAATAATAAAGCAATTATCTTCCATTAAATCTAATTGGGATTACAAAAAGGAAAACATATGCAGTATACATTCATAATGCCTAGCCCTGAATATATAGCATATGTTGCAATTAATAGAAAATAATGGAAGTTAACCATATAAAAAATGCCCTAAATTCTTACAACTTTCCAAGATAGTTCTTGGTTACAACAAAAGTGAGTCTTAAGCTCAATACAATTAAAGCTCTAAGCTCGTACAAAAATAAATACAAAATAACAAAACTGAGCCTTCAGCTCCACAGTCCTCCCAAGCCAAGTCTTTGGTGGAGGCATATCACCAGTACCTGAAAATGTTTTTCCTACATAAGCTGAGCCAAAATCCAGTATAAATGATCTAACACAATAGATGAATCTTAACAAAGATATAAGTATAATATGCACATGTAACGCCCGTGATAAATTCATTTATAACTATTTTTCAAAATCATACGATGTCGAACTTATATCTCGATTCATTTTATCTCCATTCATGAGTCATTCCATTTTATTCGGACAACCAAACTGATGATGCAACTCAGTGGGTCTCTAACCAATACAATCATCATACAAACACTTCTATTTGCCATTTTACGGATATTTCATCAGCGGGAATCGACATCCATGTATACTCGTGGTTTTCGAGACTTTCACCATGGACACTCTGGCCAACTTAATTAAATGGAGTGCATCCCCTTTCTTCTCCCAAACATAGAGTACATCCCATTTTTCTTCCCAAACATCATACATTTACAATGTATTAAAGATGTGACAATACACAATGCAAATGGATGAGAAGTTAGTTTCAAATCACCTAATTCTCATGCAATTTCTACAACAATCATAGCTATTCTCCACCGAAGGCCCAAAACAAAAATATAATATCCAAGATAGATAAATTATCCAAATTCCATAGGTGAGTAATAATACATATCCAACTTCATCATTTACATAAACATCCACCCAATTTCACATTTTTAATATCAATTCCATTTGTTTATCTAATATAAATCTTTGAGACATTTTAGGGCAAACTCCCTATCCTTTCAAAATCTAACCAAAGTATCAAAATTAACAATTTTACTACACCACCACCTCATATTCACTCTTATAACCCTTTTCAAGAACACGTTAGAGAAACTCCTCTTTTGAATTTAAACCAAAACCCTAGGTTTGATCAAAATCTCCTAAAATCACAATATTATTTATACATAACAAATAACTAAGTTAAAAACCATAGAAGAGCATAGAAAATTCCTACCTCCAAGCTAGAAGAGGAGAAAAGCAAGGAAGAAACTCGAATGAAGTCGAAACCTAACTTTATTTGGATGAAAACGTAGCCCTTGAGATGCTCTACTTTTTTAACAAAGGCACATAGGGTAGAGAAACCACTAAATCTAAGTGAAAATGTAGAGAGAGAGAGAGGGGGAGTTTTAGAGAGAGAGACTCTAGATCTAGAGTTTTGAAATGTTTTAGAGAGAGAGTGATGAAAAAATGAGAAGAAATGGCCTGATTATGAACTGATATACGCACAGTCCGCTCGAGCGCAAGAAGTGACGCTCGATCGTCCAGACACAACAAGTTGTTCCGCTCGAGCATAGAATACACACTTCCAAGAGTTTTGCAAACAGCAAACTAAGGCTCGAGAGCAAAAAAGGCCACTTGAACAGAGACCGCTATAGCGCAGAAAGAACGGCTTGAGCGTAGAATACTCTCTCCCAGTAGTTTTGCAGACCTACAAAAGTACTGAGAATTCACAAGCCTGCTTGAGCACAAGAAGTGATGCTCGAGCAGAGCAGCAAAATTCTGGGCAATTAAAGTTTGAAAACCAAGCTATCAACCTGTTCCAAACGTAACCAATACAATCCAATAGTCAAACTCAATGAGGGAAAAGAAGAATAAGACAAGAACCACAATACAGAACCATGAAATCCGAATCCAGAATATCAAATGGGTCGGGTCTAAAACCAGAATCGTTATAGTATTTATGATATTTTATATAGTTAATTCCCTCGTTAAAATATATCATAAATAAATATAATTTTTTTTATTCCCCTCACTGACAATTCTCACACTGACAATCTCATCCAATCTAACTTTAAAAAGAAACGGAAAAGAAATGGACTATAGTGAGCATTGTCCCTACAAGATGAATTTTCCCCGCTTACATAAAACAGCAACGTTTATTGTGGCTTTCTGCATCTACTTACTTTGAGTAATTATACTTTGCCCCTAAGGATGTAATTATGGCCTGGTCCGGCCCATCCAGGTTCGGACTCAAGACGGCCCTAGCGGGCCTTGTGGGCTTCCTTTTTTTGGCGGACAGGGCCGGCCTGGCCCATAGGCCGAAAAGTGGGGTCCAGGCCCAAGCCCAGGCCCACTCAGAATAGGGCGTAGGGCCCCGGGCCTAGGGCTTGGGCTCAGGCCTCAGGGCGGGCCTTTGTTTTCCTCGAAAAGTGAACGATAAATACATTATATATATATTATTTATTAGAGATAAAAAAAAATTTATATTAGAGTATTTTAATTAAGATTAATAAGATGTTTAACTATGTTTCATGTATGGTGATGAGAGGGTGATCTATGATCTGGAGTTGGGCCGAGATATCGACCGAGCAGGTTGAAAGCCCAGCAGTGCATTGGGCCGGGATGATCGACTGTTCGCCCAGAGAAGGGCTGCCAGAACTTGGGCCGGGCAGAGTTCGGGCTGATAATTTTTTTCTTTTAAAATAAATAATTTTCTATATTTAAAAATGAAACTTGATGATGATGTAGAATGCTGTTTTCAATGACTCCAGGTATGCTGTTTTCCCATTCAACCTCTTCAGGCACTCAACTACAATTTGGTGAGTCCACATTTCATTTTTTTTTTTTTTCTTCTCTGTTTTAAGTTGTGCCCCAATGAAAGTGCAAGAAAAATCATCAACTTTTTTCACCAAAAAGATCTATATTTTTACTATATCTAAATTATATGTACTGAAACACAATTAAGTCTTCTATTAAAAAGTAAAAATGTGAAGTAATTAAGTAATATATAAAGGTATCCGTAGATTATATGTTAACGGGCCAAGTTGGTTTTAAATGGAAGGCTCAATCCCAGGCCCAACGTCCTAGGTTGGGCTTGAGCTCGAACCGCACTGGGTCGGGTCCACCTCAGGTCGTGAGCTGGTTTCGGGCCATCCACGGGTTTCGGGTCATTTTTATACCCTTATTTGTCCCTTTTATATTTGGTCATTTTTTTACTTTGACTCTTAAAATTTGTTTTTTTTCATTTTGGCCTTTTATGTTTAAAATTTTTCCTAGCTTACTTCTAAAGCTAACTTCTGCTCAAAATTAAACAGAAAATGATATATTGACAGTCACGTGGCTTTTGAGCCACAAAATTTGAAATGTGAAGTAATTAAGTAATATATAAAGGTATCCGTAGATTATATGTTAACGGGCCAAGTTGGTTTTAAATGGAAGGCTCAATCCCAGGCCCAAGGTCCTAGGTTGGGCTCGAGCTCGAACCGCACTGGGCCGGGTCCACCTCAGGTCGTGAGCTGGTTTCGGGCCATCCACGGGTTTCGGGTCATTTTTATACCCCTATTTGTCCCTTTTATATTTGGTCATTTTTTTACTTTGACTCTTAAAATTTGTTTTTTTTCATTTTGGCCTTTTATGTTTAAAATTTTTCCTAGCTTACTTCTAAAGCTAACTTCTGCTCAAAATTAAACAGAAAATGATATATTGACAGTCACGTGGTATAAAAATATTTTATTTTACACCTCTAATACAAACTCAAACCGTAATATAATAATATATTTTTTATGTTATATGATAGTTATCGTGACATTTTTTTGTCTAATTTTAAGCAGAAGTTAGTTTTATGAGTAAACTGAAAAAAAACTTGAAACATGAAAGGTTAAAATAAGAGAAAATAAAAAGGATTAAAGTAAGACAGTGGCCAAACGTAAAGGGGATAAAGTATAATTTACCCACTTACTTTTGCCCATGTGGCTCGCTTGTAGCCGTTCCATTCCTTTGAAGATTAAAAGTCGATCAGCATCACAATATACATAAAAGATTCGGATCTCTTGTTTTTTAATGACGGGCAGACCAACTTACGTGCACCTCGATATCGGGACCCGTTGTTAACATGTTGTGATGCATATGAGCTTTGTTTGAAACATATATGTGTCTGTTGCACTCACATGCTCTATATTCTGATTCCCAATGGGAATGGGGGCATTTGTAGGATTGTAAGGAGGGACATGACATGAATAAGTTTTTTCACCTCAATGGCTGAGCAAATATCTGTACCAAAATCTACTCTTGTGGATTTTGTTTCCATTAAAGGAAGCTTCTCAGTCCTCTTGTCTTTTTCTGTTTTTGTCTCGCTGATCACTCTCACTTGGTTTCCTCACAAGAAAGAACCCCATAATGTTTCACTACACTACCCACCTAATCAATCACCTATAGCTTATATAAGCTTCTGCAATTCCTGGGTAGAGAGAGAGAGAGAGAGAGAGAGGTGCAGTGCATGCTTGGAGACAACTTTGAAACTATAAGGTTAGTTTACCTACTTTTATTTTTGGGTTTTACAATGGCATACAATCTGGATAAGGACTTCCACCAGCTTGCCTCCAGTTCTCTTTTTGGATTGGAGGGTTTGCAGTTTGTGTACTCTTAGGCCTATTTAAGGTCTGTTATGGTAGTTAGAATCGTTCAGCTTATAAAACTCAAATTATTTATACAATAAATTTTAATTCATTAAACTTTCATAACTACATGATCAGTTTGTTTGTATGAAAAAAAACAGATAGACGAATTTTGGGCAAACTTAGTCATCAATTTTATTACACAAAAATGTGACTAATGAAATAATTGTTAATATTCGATCGACTTGAATTTTTATTTGAATAATTTGTATGACAAGTCTCGTAATTTAAATGATTTGAATCACCTAAATAGACCTAAAATGAGCCCACAAGTATAGAACCTGCACCCCCCCTATCCAAAAATGGGACTCGAGGTAAGTCGGGTCGTTTACAAAAAATTTTCTTTCTTCCTTTAGTTGAAAAACATACCAATGTATGTAGGGTCCATGACTCCAAGGTGAAAATGGTAAATTGACATGTTATGTTCTAAGATTTAGGATTGGCTTCGTGGATGTTCAGATTCAAGACTTGTTCTTCCGCCATATTAATGCTAGACTCTCAAAATAGATGATCATAATTTTAAATTAATTGGTGACCACTTATTATATATTTTTATTTTTTTTCTTTTGTCTCTCACAGGTGCCCTCTCTCTCTCTCTTACTGGTATGTGGGAGTCTGGGGGTCTGTAGCACATCTGCTTCAGCCCTCTTGTCCATTTAAACAAATAAAAAAATATATTATGCATGAAAAGGGCTATATAGGTAGTAGCACTGAAAATTCCTATAGTTTCCTATATATATGCATGCAATTTTATTTATTTGTTTATTGTTGCCCTGCATAATTATCATTCTATGCAGTCATTTCATGTATTGATTACTTTTTTTTTGGGGTTTTTTTTTTTTTTGGGGGGGGGGGGGGAGTTGAATAAAAAAATCAAAGTTTGAGTCTTATAATAAAATAAATGTTAAATTTTTAATTTTATTAATTTTATTAATTTTAATTTTAATCTTTTGATTTTTTAAAATATCTAAAATATACTTTTTATTAAATTTAATACTTAAAATAATTTCTTCTTTTTTTTATCCATTTTACTTCATGGAAATAAGTAAATGGCTTAGATTAAAAACAAATCAAAAATTTAAGATTTAAATTAATAAAATTAAAATTTTGGAATTTAATTTGAAAAAGTTAACATGTGAAACTTTGAAGTTTTTTTTTTTTTTTTTGTAATGTGCTCTATTATTTTTTTTGTTTCTCAACACATTTTTCCCCCTTCTTTTCTTCCTGGGAAATATACTGTTTACTTCTTGATCTCATTAACCCACTGTAGATGCAGATCCATTTCTTTTAGATTTTTATTTATTTACTGTTATTATGACTGTGGGAGCCACCCCTTGTGAAAGGTTTATATCTCATTTTGTAAATAGTTTCTACATTCTTAGCATTACTGATTATTAAAATCTTAAAAAAAAAAAAATCAAAACTAGACTAATTGTTAGAACTTTAGAGGTTTCAAATTTAAAATGCTAAATTATAAATACACCCATTGAGATTTGTTTAAAATACGAATTGCTCCTTATAGTTTGAAAAATTACAAATATCCCTTGCCAGAATTTTTTATTTAGCAAAAAATTACAAATATCCCTTGAAAAATAAAATTTCTAACTACGCTTCTATACAATAATAAAATTACCTAAATTATTAATTGAAATAAATTTCTGACATCTTTAAAAATTATTAATTGACTTAATGATTTATTAACAAAATGGGCTATTTGTTATGAAATTAAAAACTTCAAGGGGTATGATGTAATTTCTAAAATTACAAAGGACCATTTATATTTTAAGTAAATCTCAAGAGGTGTATTTGTAATTTATCCAATTTAAAATTAATTAACAATGAGTAGAGCGATTTATATAAAGTATATAAATTAAGTTCAAGCAATTTAGAGAGAAGAACAATTTAAGACACTTCCCAACAAGAGCGGCCTAGTCACACGGGGAGGTGAAAAGAAATGAAAATGAAAGGAATAGACTTAAGAGATTATCCAAGATCTAACTATGATACCATGTAAGAATTTTCAATTGTTCCACAAACTTTAGTTATTAGCAAATTAAATCAACAATGTATATCAAGTTAAAACTCTTCTAATGTGCAATCTTGTTTCACATGTAGATAGGCAAATTGATTGAGTGAACTACATTTTGGGACAACAAAGAGAAAAATGGAACCTATGGGTATGTGTGTGCATACAAAATTGTACAACAATATCAAAGTTAAGCAAAGGAAGAGAGTACTTGCTACCATATCATTATCAAAAAAAATTCTACAAACAATAATATGTAGAAAATGATCTCACACACTCAACCAAGTGCTGCAGTTTGGGGTTTATATACATTCAATTGTTACAATACATTTGAAAGAGATATGAATAAATATGAGATAAATATCTATACAAGATCAAAATATAAATAAAGAGATAATTACAACTATTATGTGAAGATTATCTCTTGTTATTTTATAGCCTTCCACAAGTAGATGAGTGGTGAGATACAACTTTCAACTTGGAACAAATTGCCTGAACACATGTCGTGAGAAGCCCTTTGGTAAGGATGTCTACGACCTAGTCCTTGGTCTAATCTAGTGCACGGTTTGATCACCACATACCACTTTATCCCTTACAAAATGAATCAATTTCAATGTTCTTGGTCCGAGCATGGAAGAAAGGGTTGAATGTAAGGTAGAAGGATCCAATTTTATTATGCCAGAGAAATGGTAGAGAATGAAGGTATGGATTGAGTTTGAACAAAAGGGATCGAATCTAGATTAGTCCCATAACTTGTATCGCCAAGGGCTTTGTACTCAAATTGAGTGAAAGAGTGGGCAACAGTTCACTGTTTGCGATAAGGTCAAGAGACTAGATTAATTAGCACCCAATTAGATTGCATAGCTACCAGTGGATTTACAATCATCCCAATTAGAATAAAAACATTGCATGTAACTTAGTGGACACATACTGAGAAATGTGTAAAGCCTAATCTTACTGTTTTTTTAAAAAAAAATAGGATTTTCCCCGCTTAATAGATAACCATTTGATACCAATGGAGAATTTTTTCTCATCTTAAATTGAGGTGATTGGATTTGCCCCAATGGAAACCATAAATTTCATACTGCATAAATTGGCATACTATGTTTAGAGAAAATGAAAAGTCTGGCAAGGTAAGTGTTAAATACTACATGGAGCCAACAACTTGGAGAAAAAGAGTGGGATTTGAGAAGTGCCTATCACTAGATGAAGAAAGCATGACGAATGTAGAAATGGGTGTTTGAACACCCTTGCATTGATGCATATTGGATTTTGAAAGTAAATTCTTGGATGTAATATCTTTGGAAAAGAAGAACTCCATTAGAGTAAGGAAGAACTTCAATACCAAGGAAAAAAGAAAGAGGGTCGAGATCTTTGAGTACAAAGGCAGAACCCATTTGAATAAGAGAAATGTTATGGATCATGAAAAAAATTTCATGAAAATGATCATGAAAGATTTATGGCTCTTAGATTACCTTGATTAGTGTGTGGTGCTTTATTCTATGTGTAATCTAAAGGTCACAAATCTTTTATGATCATTTTCATGAAAGACTTTTCATGATACCTAGTATTGCTGTTTGAATAATAAGACTAGTGATCATGGAGGTATCTATTAGTGACCAAAATGTCATTAGATTTTGGAAGTAGATCTTGGATGTAATGTCTTCTGTAAAAGAAGAACTCCATTAGAGTGAGGAAGAACTTCCGTACTAAGGAAAAAACAGAGAGGGCCAAGTTCTTTGAGTACAAAGATAGAACCCATTCGAATAATAAGACTAGTGATCATGGAGGTATCAATATTAGTGACCAAAATATCATCAGCATGGATGAGAACAAACAGTTGAACATATCTATGAGAGTAAATGAAGAGAGATGTATCTGTTTTGAAAGCTGTAAAACTGATCTAAAGAAGTTGCCAGGTGAGACGATTGAACCACACTTGGGATGCCTATTTAAGATCATATAAGTTGTAGTTAAGTTTGCAAACATAAAAGATAAAATTTCTAATTGCGCTTCTATACAATAATAAAGTTACCTAAATTATTAATTGAAATAAATCTCTAACATCATTAAAAATTGTTAATTGACTTGATGATTTATTAATAAAATGGACTATTTGTTATGAAATTAAAAACTTCAAGGGGCATGATGTAATTTCTAGAATTATAGGGGGCAATTCATATTTTAAGTAAATCTCAGAAGGTGTATTTATAATTTATCCAATTTAAAATTAATTGACAATGAGTAGAGCGATTTATATAAAGTACATAAATTAAGTTTAACTAGTTTAGAGAGATGAACAATATAAGACTCTTCCCAACAAGGGCGGCCTAGTCACACGGGGAGGTGAAAAGAAATGAAAATGAAATAAATAGACTTAAGAGATTGTCCAAGATCTAACTATGATACCATGTAAGATTTTTCAATTGTTCCACAAACTTTAGTTATTAGCAAATTAAATTAACAATGTATATCAAGTTAAAACTCTTCTAATGTGCAATCTTGTTTCACATGTAGATAGGCAAATTGATTGAGTGAACTACGTTTTGGGACAACAAAGAGAAAAATGGAACCTATGGGTATGTGTGTGCATAAAAAATTGTACAACAATATCAAAGTTAAGCAAAGGAAGAGAGTACTTGCTACCATATCATTATCAAAAAAAATTCTACAAACAATAATATGTAGAAAATGATCTCACACACTCAACCAAGTGCTGCAGTTTGGGATTTATATACATTCAATTGTTACAATATATTTGAAAGAGATATGAATAAATATGAGATAAATATCTATGCAAGATCAAAATATAAATAAAGAGATAATTACAACTATTATATTATGTGAAGATTATCTCTTGTTATTTATAGCCTTCCACAAGTGGATGAGTGGCAAGATAAAACTTTCAACTTGGAACAAATTGCCTGAACACATGTCGTGAGAAGCCCTTCGGTAAGGATGCCTACGACCTAGTCCTTGGTCTAATCTAGTGCACGGTTTGATCACCACATACCACTTTATCCCTTACAAAATGAATCAATTTCAATGTTCTTGGTCCAAGCATGGAAGAAAGGGTTGAATGTAAGGTAGAAGGATCCAATTTTATTACGCTAGAGAAATGGTAGACAATGAAGGTACAGATTGAGTTTGAACAAAAGAGATCGAATCTAGATTAGTCCCATAACTTGTATCGCCAAGGACTTTGTACTCAAATTGAGTGAAAGAGTGGGCAACAGGTCATTGTTTGCGATAAGGTCAAGAGACTAGATTAATTAGCACCCAATTAGACTGCATAGCTACCACTGGATTTACAATCATCCCAATTAGAATAAAAACATTGCATGTAACTTAGTGGACATAGACTGAGAAATGTGTAAAGTCTAATCTTTCTGTTTCTTTAAAATAGGATTTTCCCCGCTTAATAGATAACCATTTGATACCAATGGAGACTTTTTTCTCATCTTAAATTGAGGTGATTGGATTTGCATAAATGGAAACCATAAATTTCATACGGCATAAATTGGCATACTGTGTTTAGAGAAAATGAAAAGTCTGGCGAGGTGAGTGTTAAATACTGCAAGGAGCCAACAACTTGGAGAAAAAGAGTGGGATTTGAGAAGTTCCTATCACTAGATGAAGAAAGCATGATGAATGTAGAAATGGGTGTTTGAACAC